TCGGGCTCTCTGCTCAGCGGGGAGCCTGCTTCCTCCTCTCTCTCTGCCTGCCTCTCTGCCAACTTGTGATCTCTGTCTGTCAAATAAATAAATAAAATCTTTTAAAAAAATAAATAAATAAATAAATAAATTCAGGGGTGCCTGGGTGGCTCAGTTGGTTAACCCACTGCCTTCAGCTCAGGTGATGATCCCAGAGTCCCAGGATCAAGTCCCACACCTGGCTTCCTGCTCAGCAGGGAGCCTGCTTCTCCCTCTCCCTCTACTGCCACTCCCCCTGCTTGTGCTCTCTCTCTCTGTGTCAAATAAATAAATAAAATCCTTAAAAATTAATTAATTAATTGTCTGATAGTTCTCACAACTGTATCATCCTCAGTCTAAGTGTGGGCTAGGTTATTTTGATTTTTGAACAGTAGGCTACTTTTTTCTAACTTTTTGTATGTTTCAGAATTTTTGCCTGGATGATGGATATCGTGTGTAACACAGGAGACTGAGGAAACAGTATAAAAATGGCTCTTTTTCTGCAAGCTATTGGTGGGAGCTAAGGGGAGAGGTTGAGTCAATCTCTTTAAAAATTAGGCTGGGTTTGGGTTCTATTGTTATGATTAACTTAAGTGTACTACCTACTTCAAATTCCTCTAGGGCAACCTTCTGCTTAGGGTGGGAGCTGGTTTGCCTGAGGGTTTTTCTCAGGGTTCTTACTCCACCCTCCGCTTCCGGTTTTCCCTGCGCACCCCTCCACCCTCCAGGCTAGTCCCCAGGGGCAGAATGCGGTTGCTTTACTTGAGTCTGAGTCTCAGGCAAGCCATTATCCCTGGACCTCCAGGCACAGGGCTTTCTCCCAGCAGTAGGAAAACAAAGGGTCTGAACCCAGAAGTTTCCTCACCTTCCCTCAGGTTTTAAGGGTTTTTGTCTTTTCACTCCTCCCAAGCACAATGGAAAATGGAGTTTATTCCCTTCCCCCAGTGGCTTAAAGCTCTTCCTGGGAGAAGAGTCCAGGACCGTACCACCTAGTGGGCCTTACCCCACCTAGTGGGCCTTACCCCGTCTCCCTTGCTTTCCCCAGTCTTTCTCACAACAAACTGCCAGGAGACCTTGAAGAAAAAGCCTAGAGGTGGGTGTTACCTACGCTGTGTCTGCAGCTCTCAAGGATTCTACAGTCTCATGCTAGCCCACACTTAGACTTCAGCAAACCATTAAAAACTTATCCGAATTCTTCTCTATCCTTGTACCACAGCGCTGCCTTCTTCCTGTGCTGTTACAGATGAGCCAGATCCCACCTCTGATGAATCAAGAGAAGTTATAACTTTGTATATTACAGCTCATTCTTATTTCAAGATGGGAGTAATACTCTTTGCAGCTTTCTATATCCCAAGTAAAAGTCAGAAATCACTTTGTGAGTTTAAATACCACCTATAAAGCCACAATTCCTACATTTACATTTCTATTCTGGACTTCTCCTCTGGACTCGAGATCATGTATCTCCAGCTGCCTACTGGACAAACCTATTTTTATGGTTTGGCAGACAAACTTTAAGGTGGCCCCCGTGACCCCCACCTGCTGGTATTCATGCCCTTGGGTAATCCTTTCCATTGAGTGTGGGAAGGACCTGCAACTTTCTTCTAATCAGTAAGGCAAAGATGATGGGATGGCATTCCCATGATTACATTTTCTAACAAAGGAATGGCATATCATTTCCTTGATTAGGTCATATGGTATTATACAACACTATGCCTTGCTAGCCAACTCACTCTCATCCTCTTGACAGACATAATGGAGCAGGCTGCCATGCTGTGAACTGCTTATGGGGAGGGCCACATGGCAGCAAACTGCAGAGGACCTGTAAGATCTGAGGGTGGCCTCCAGCCAACAAAAAACTCAAGTTCTCAGTCTTACAGCCGCAACAAAATGAAGTCTGCCAACAACCTGAGTCAAGTTGGAAGTGGATTCTTCTCCAGTTCAACCCACAGGTGAGAACCCAGCCCCAGCCAACACCTTGACTGCAACTTGAAACACCAAAGCAGAGAACCTAGCAAAGAAGTTTCGGCCCTCACAGAAACTGTGATAACATGTGTTGTGAGCAATTAAGTTTGTGGTAATTTTAGTACAAAAAAGTAATACAGATAGCATCACAAACTTAACATGCCTAAAAGCCAAATTCCTGATTGCCAAAATTACCCCACAAAACTAAAGAAAAATATGCTCGTGTTGTCCATCTTATTAAGTGGCAACTCCATTCCTACAGTTATTCAAGCCAAAAACTAGGGTCTATCTTAACTTCTTTTTTTTCTCTAAAACCCACATCTAATCCGAAAGTAAACACTGTTAGCTTTAAAACCAAATTATATCCAGAATCTAAATTTTATCTGCTACCACCTTGGTCCAAGCCACTATCACCTCTCAAGCACATTATTCTAAACGCTTCCTAACTGATTTTCCTGCTTCTACTCTACAAAGCAACCAAAATGATCCTATTAAAACATCAGGTAAGTTTTTACTCAAAACACTCCAAAGGATTCCCATCTCACCCAGCTTAAAAGCCAAAAGCCTTACAGTGGCCTACAAGGCCTACCTTATCTGGCACTCTCCCTTCCCACCCCAAACCTCTTGGCCTCATCCTGTATCATTCTCCCCTCATTCACCTGTCTCCCAGAGCACCAGTCTCTGTGCCATTCCTTAACTATGCCAAGTACCTACCAGTCTCAGCGTTTTACAACTGTTAGTTCATGTAAATGAAGAGTTCTTTCCACTAATGGGACTTCTCTGACCGCTTTATATACAAAGACAGGTCCACCTGTCCCCACCAATCCCCATCCCTTCCGCCCTGCTTTGTTAGTCCCCACAGTACACACTATGAACTGATACCTGTTATTGCCTGTCTCCCCAAAATTAGAAGGAAAGTCCATAAGAGCTGAGGCTTCTGTTTATTCCTATGTCCCCAGCTTATACTGAAGACTAAATAAATATAACTGCTTTAGATACGGTTTCCTTACAGTATTTAGAGTCTAATGAAGTAATCACGCCACAAGAATTTGGACATGAAGTCAGTGACATTATTTTTCAAAATCACTACAAAATTACTTACCACTTAGAAATGTACTCATTCTACATCTCACTGTAAATATGCTTCCAAGAAAACTTGGAGAACATTCACATCTAACCAAAATAACTGAAGTATACAAGCCAAGTGAATTTAAACATTTCTGTGAAGGACTCTATTAACAGAAAGATAGCTGAAAGACTCTGTAATTGTTTTTCCAGCACCATCTGGAGAAGATACCATTATTCTACACAGATATAGCCAAACAATAAAGAAGGATGAATAAAGCTTGAAGGATTAATCCTTTCGGACCTCGTTTCTCAAATTCTGGTCTCAAGACTCTTTACACTCTTAAAAATTACTGAGGACCCCAAAGAATTCTTATATATGTGGGCTTTTAATCTACTAACACATTTAAAATTAAAACAGAAATCTTAAAAATATTTAACAGTTCATTTTGAAGTAATATAAATATATTACGAATCTAATTTTCATTTATGTAACTAAACTTCCCTCTCCCAAATTAGTATAAGAGAATGACATTTTACTTCTCTGCAAATTAATGTTTGAGTTAATAGAATATGGCTGAATTCTCTTACCTTCTTTTACATTAAATATTTTGCCATATGTTGTTCTGGCTGAGGTATATAAATGAAGCCTGGCCTCACATATATATAAAGTTGGAAAAGGGAGGACTGTTTTTAATAGTGTTTTCAGATAATTGTGGATACTCTTCTTTGATACCACTTTAAAACTTAAACAGGTTGTAGTTTCTTAAAGGTTGTTTGCAATATACAATCTTAATGTTACGTATTTTTTTTTTAAGATTTTTATTTACTTGAGGAGAGAGGGAAAGAAAACACATACAAGCAAGCACAAGAAGGGGTGGGGGGTGGAGAGGCAGAGGGAGAGACTCCCTCTGAGCAGAGTCCAACACGGGACTTGATCCCAGGACAATCTGATAATGACTTGAGCTGAAGGCAGACACCCAGCCAACTGAGCCACCAGGCACCCCTTAGCGTTATATATTCTATTAACATCAACATCCATTGGTCTGGGGTGCCTGGGTGGCTCAGTCAGTTAAGCCTCTGCCTTGGGCTCAAGTCATGATCCCAGGGTCTTAGGACTGAGCTCCACATCAGGCTCCCTGCTCAGTGGAGGGTCTACTTCTCCCTCTCCCTCTGCCCCTCCTCCATGCTTCTGCTCTCTCTCTCTCTCTCTCAAGTAAATAAAGAGCTCTTTAAAAAAATAAAATAAAATAAAATCCATTGTTTACCTTGCACTCTAAATGAATCTTATACCCAAGCATGATTTTGTAACACAACTTTGTAACTGAAAAGTCTGTTAAGTACTGGGAAACTGTCAAGCTCACAATAGTGAATACAAGTTTTCCAAAATTCTCATTTTTGCTTGAAAGTTCAAGTCTTATCATAGGCAACAAACACCTGTCCATTGTTTTCCTTAAAGTGGGTGACATGCATGAATCAGACAATTTGAAATTTAAAAATATCAGTTCCGCAATATGCATGCCTATCAATTTAAATTCTCTAATGTATAGGCCTGTTTTCCAGTTCAGCAAAAAGATTTCCTATATATCCACAATAAATCTACTGAACTGAAGATGGTTTGCCTCTTGAAACTATCAGTCTGTTTCAAGTTAGCACAAAGATATAAATAATTTTTCATTTTTCTTATGCAAAAACAAAATCCATCTGGAAAAAATCAAAATAATCATGCACCACAAAAAATTAAATCTACTTCAAGTTTTGTAATGTATATACCTATTTAAAACAACATTAAAGGTACTTTGTATAGAAGAAAATAAAACTGAAATAACCTTGCCAGGATGTTTAAATCAAATCTACCTTCCTTTCTTACAGTTCAACATTTACAGCTCTTTTTTTGGTTCTTTTTCATAAAATATTCCTATTTAGCTCAGTATTTTGGCTGGATCCTGCCTTACCTGTTGAGCAATATGAGAAATATGAGTTCCCTGAACCGCTGAACCAGGCTGCGGCGCTGCCTCTGCAGTGTTACTCTTGTGGGAATCTTCCATAATCAACTACAAGCAGGAAAAAAGTCAGTTAGAAGATGCTTTTCAAGAAATCCTAAGACATTTCTATCCTTAACATGTGTACGTTTTCAGAGGAACAAGATGAAGTTTCTCTATGCTATGAGCTAGCTCAATTTATCCAGACTCATTGTCTTCTCATGTTCTGTTCTGTGTAGAGATCTAATTACAAGATCTCAAGAAATGGCAAATAAAAAGCACTACAGAATATGTATAATATGCTGCACAGTTGTATAAAAATTGGCAACCTGGTTGCTTCTGTAGAAGAGAACTGGCAGTTATGGAACAGAGATAGAAAAGACTATTTCTTGCATATTCCTTTACATTTTAAAAATTTTGATCCACATGAACCTGTTAAAATTTAATAAATAACAAATACATACATAAATTATTGTGACTAAGTTTTAAAGTGTTATCCCACTCACGAAGTAAGATAGTCTTCCTGTCCATGGACACAAGAATTCTTCTTCATCTAGGGAACAGTTTCTAATTGCACAAATAGTGCTACACAGAGAATTCATTAAACAGAAGCTGAACTAAATAAATAAGCACAACCACACCTAAAGAGATTCTAAAGATCTAGATGATCTATAGAAAGAAGCAAGTGCAGGATATGCAGGCTAAGTAAAAATGAGAATAAATGGCTTATGAGAGATGGAATATGCCAAAAGGGAAGCAACCACTTAGACTGCTAGAAGATTTGGGCAGAATTTAAGGTTTTTAAATGATTACACACAAAGAAAAAAGAGGGGTTGGCCAGCAAACATGAAAAGATGTTCAGTATCACTAACCATTAGGGAAATCTAAATCACAACTACAATGAGATACCATCCCAACATCCCATCATTAGGATAGCTATTAATTTTTTTTTAAGATTTTATTTATTTATTTGACAGAGAGAGATCACAAGTAGGCAGAGAGGCAGGCGGGGCGGGGGGGCTGCCTGCTGAGTAGAGAGCCTGATGTGGGGCTCCATCCCAGGACCTGAGACCATGACCTGAGCTGAAAGCAGAGGTTTAACCCTCTGAGCCACCCAGGCGCCCCTAGGATGGTTAATATTTTTTAAAAAATTAAAAATAAAATAAGTGCTGGTGAGGATGTGGAGAAACTGGGACATTTGTGCACTGTTGTTGGGGATGCAAAAAAGGTGTAGACACTATGGGAAACACTATGGTATTTACTAAAAAATTTAAAGATAGAATCACTGTGTGATCCAGAAATCCCTCATCTAGGTATATACCCAAAGGAATTGAAAGCAAGGTCTTTAAGATATATTTGTACACCCATGTGCACAGCAACATTATTTACAATAGTCAAAAGGTACAATCAACCCAGTTATGCATAGAGATGAATGAATAAACAAAATATGGTATATTCAAAGTCTACATAATATTCCATCCAGGGAACATACATAATTCTTTTTTTCTTTTTAACCAAACAAGATAATACTGTGATTAATATCTTTGGTGCATAAAACTCTTCCACAATTAAAATTATCTCCACAGAACATATTCCAAAAAGGAAAACTACTTGATCAAGGAGTATGAATATCTAAGGTTTTCTGGGGGAACCTGGGTGGCTCAGTCATTAAGTGTCTGACTTCGGCTCAGGTCATAATCCCAGGGTCCTGCGATCAAGCCCCACATTGGGCTCCCTGCTCCTCCCTCTCCCACTCCCCCTGCATCTGCTCCCTTTCTCACTGTGTCTCTCTCTGTCAAATAAATAAAATAAAATCTTTTAAACAAACAAATAAATAAGTAAATAAAAATAAAATTTTCTGAAGGAATTACAGTCCATCAGAAGTACATGAGAAAGCAATGATAGGTGAAAAATGACATACTGTTTTACATTTCTTTAATCCTCTATTAGTTGTGTGAGCTATCTGTTCGTATTACTTATTCATCCATTTATCACCAAATCTTAGTGTTTTTCTTATTTGCCTGTTTCTTTTTTTAAAATATTTTTAAAGGTTTTATTTAGGGGCGCCTGGATGGCTCAGTCATTAAGTATCTGCCTTTGGTTCAGGTCGTGGTCCAGAGTCCTGGGATGGAGCCCTGCATCAGGTTCCTGCTCAGCGGGGAGCCTGTTTCTCCTCCTGCTTGTGTTCCCTCTCTGACTGTCTGTGTCAAATAAATAAATAAAATCTTAACAACAACAAAAAAAAAGGTTTTATTTGTTAATTTAAAGCAAGTGACAGAGGGGAAGAGGGTGTGCATGAGCCGGTGGAGGGGCAGAGAAAGAAGGGGAGAGAATCTTTGAGTGCAGAACCCAAAGTGGGGCTTGACATGGGTCTCAGGACCCTGAGAGCATGACCTGAGCTGAAATTAATAAGAGTCAGATTCTCAACCAACAGCCACCCAGGCATCCCAATCTATATCTTTTAAAATTTTATTTATTTGCCAGAGAGTGAGCACATGTGCACATACAAGTGGGGTAACAGGAGAGGGAGAAGCAGGCTCCCCACTGAGCAAGGAGCCTGATGTGGGACTCAATCCCAGTACCCTCAGATCATGACCTGAGCAGCAGGCAGACGCTTAACCAACTGAGCCACCCAGGCATCCCTAATATTTCTTAATACAAATTTCATTTCTATCATGTGGATACAAATATCTTAACAATGACTTAACTATGATTATTTTTAAACTTTTAATTTTGCCAAATTCATCTAATGCTTCCTATGTTGTTTCTTCAACTGCTCTGAATCTCAGTTCTTTAGGAAGAGCCGTGATTTTTCATCTCCACTAATACAAGTATAATATCACAGACTAAACACAGAGATAGCACCAAACCTGCAATTATGTATTTTCTCCATACTATCTGTATTGAAAACGCCTTAAAAAAAAAAAAAAAGATTTTGGGGCACCTGGGTGGCTCAGTGGGTTAAAACCTCTGCCTTTGGCTCAGGTCAAGATCCCAGGGTCCTGGGACGGAGCCCTTTGTTGGGCTCTCTGCTCAGCGGGGAGCCTGCTTCCCGCCCCCGCCTCCCCCCCCCCGCCTCCCCACCCCCCCCCCCCCCGCGCCTCTCTGCCTACTTGTGATCTGTCTGTGAAATAAGTAAATAAAATCTTAAAAAAATATATATGTTTTAAGTAATCTCTATACCCAATGTGGGGCTCAAATTTACAACTCCAAAATCCAGAGTCACACACTCTACTGAGACAGACAGGCAGCTGAAAATGCCTTTTTTTTAACACTCCCATTTCAGAAGACATAAGTTAGAATGTAGAAAAGAAAAAAATATATATAGTGCTAAAGCACTGAACGAAACTATAAAAGATTTTTCAAAACCTTATTAAATTCCTGGAAATGATACTTTTCTGTTTCACTATGACTCACTGATTTCTCCTCCGTAACAGTATTATTAAGAAATCCTAAATCTAATGGAAACTAACACAATCAACACAACAATACACATTTCCTAGTAAAAGCGACTACAGTCAGCAAGTAAGATTTTGGCCAATTATTACAACCACATTTCCTACGGAAAATAAGCCCATTTTCTATAACTTTTTAAAGAGAAATCAACTAATCAGCTTTTTTTCCCAAAATGAAGACAGCTTTATAGTTTTATCTCACTGTAAACTATACTATGTATTTTTTATGTTGGCGTATAATCTTCATTTGCTCACTCTTTTCAGCTATTACTCTTAAAACTGAGGTTAAGATGAACGATCTGTTGAAAACTGGCTCAACACAGAATAAGCTGTACATGTACAAAAGCATTCTCTATGAAAATAATATAGCTCCCTGCAGCAGATGGAAGCTTAACACTAGACACCAGTAAGTAGGCCAGAATCACAGGGGTTAGTGAAACACAGCTTCAAAAGTGCCATCAACGAGATGGAATTTGGGAGGCGGATAAAATGCAGCAGGCTGTGATCTTGCTGACATAATAAAGAATGTAAGTAAAAGACATGGTGCTTCTAAGAAAACTTGCAAAAAAAGGAATATTATATCCTAGGCACTAAATGAAGAGCTTTTTTATATCATTTCCTGGATTCCCTATTTGAGAGATTTATAAATTGAGGCTCAAGGAAATTGCCATTTTCTATGAATCTCACAGTAAGATGTGAATACAAGATCTGAAGGCAGAACTATTTTAACTCAAAATCCATGTTTTTTTCTTCCCCCCATGCTGCCCCTCGTCCTCTAACATTGCCAACTTGTTCATCTGGCAAACTCCTACTCTTTTCAAGTTTCATCCCAAACATTAAGTTCCCAACTGCTCCAGGTCCTTTCTTCCTTCCTACTTTGTGCCCTCCACATATTTCTAATGAGGTCACTTAACACTTGGAACTGTGTTTATTAGCATGTCTGGTTCCCCCAGTCTTTTTTTTGGGGGGGGGGTGTTGTTTCCCCCAGTCTTAAGGTACCTAAGGACAGTGCCTATAGCAGCCCAATAGAGACACTCATGTATGCAGTAAATAAACATCAACGAATACAGTTAGTTTTCTCATTTGACGAATGAAGGTCTTAGTTTCCTCACCTACAGAGAATACAGAACTATGATAAGCTTGAGGGCAAGGAGTCTCTTGCTTGACATTTCCATACTGAACTCATGATCTTCCCTCAAAATTGTTCGTTTGCCATGCTGAATTTCTTCCAGAACTTCCCATGTGCCTACCTTGCCTTCTCTCACCTTCAGGCTTTCACATATGCCATTCCCTCTGCCAGAAACACTACTCCCCTCCTCTTCGTGTGGCCTATTCCTATGAGCTATTTATTCTTCCAGGCAATCTTTCATGAATCCCTCAGACTAGTCGAAAAGCTCTGGCTGTATCCCCAAAGCACATGTTACCCCCTCTTCACCCAGTATTGTAATGGCCTGTTCTCTGTCTTGCCACCAGAATGCAAGCTTTGGGGAGCCAAAGACCATATCCAGCTCCCGATATAGCACTAATACCTTGCACATTCATTAATGCTGACTAAATCAATGTGTTTAGTAGGGTTTGTCTAGCTACAGAAAGAAGTAATGATTAAAGAAATATATTTAGACAATTACTTCAATTCGGCTTTGGAATCAAGACAACACAGGCACACAAAAATCCTACTTTAGAGATGGAAATTCATTATAATTAAGTAGGATATGTGAAGAAAAAGCATTTTGGGGCCGGACTACCACCTACTGGTGATATAGTAGTACTGTACAGATTTATCACAGACCAAACATAACCTTAAAGGATAACAGAACACAGTGTTAGGACAGTTGTACTGATTCTATTTGGGACACCGAAGAACATGCATATTACAAAATCTACAGGAAAAACAGCATTTTAATAAAACTGCTTAGATCTGCTGATAACAAAATTCTCAAGATAAAATGCATTTTGCAAACAAACATAGCAATACAAACTCTCATCACAAACCATGCCAGTTTGACAAAGATGCTTGCCAAATCTATGCTGAAAAAGCCTCAGAAGGGCAGTCTCAATGAGTATCACAGATATCCCCCACTTCTCAAAAATTAGTGTTGCATCACTGCAGTTTGACAAAAAATGTACACTAATACGTGATTCACTAACAGAAAGAAATCTCAAGGGGATTTTCACTTTCAGGAAACAAGTGAAGATAGCATTCAGGGTTTGTCTGTTTCACAGCCAGCCATTACAGAGGCAGCCTGGACCACAACAGCAAGAGGGGCCTGCCAAGCTCCTTCCCCTAGAACTATACTCAGCATCTCAGCATCAAGTCTCCATAGCTTTGAACTGCGTCGGTGAGCATCAGGGACTTTATCTCAATTTATTTTGTTAGTTAAGATGAGTCCGAAGGTATGAAAAGCCCGAGAGATTATCTGGGGGGTCTGAGAACACAGAAAAAAAATTCCGTATAAATTAATGGTAATTTCTTCTTCACTTTAGGTCATTTCTCTTAAGATTTCACAGGAATGCCCTTTCCGATGGCTGAGGAAACCAGTACTAGCCCACAGCTCCTCAAAAGCTAATAAAACCATCATTATTCAACATCTACCAAGATTTTTAAAGCAGATTAAGGGGCACGCTCCAACGTACACCTGACGCAGGAAACCTGCATGCTGGGAACGACCATGCTTAGTTTCACGATGTAAGAGAAAATCAGAGTTTCCTCGCCTTGATTCACTGTCCACAGATAAACAGAGGAGCGTCTATCTTCCCACACGCTCCTTCTCCTTCACCAGCTACACCTTTCCATTACTGTTTCGTGCGTCTGTGGCTTTACTGTCTACCTCCCCACTGGACTGTGAGCTCCCTGCGGCTAAGGACTGTTTCTGCCCTCCACCGACAGCCGGCCGGGGCCTCGCACGCCCAGCCCGCCCGGTGTGCTCTGCGGGATCCCTGGCGGACATAACCGGTCTCGGGCAGCTGGGCGGAAAACGCGCGGAGGCCAAGGCCACGCCGCCCTCCCCGCCCCGCCCTCTCCGCCCAATTCCGAGACCTTCGACGGAGGGCGCTCGCCTTCGGCCGCAGAGGGGCCGCTTCAGAGGCGAAAGCCACCCCCGGCGGGAGGTCTCCGGTTTTATTTTGGTTAGGGGAGGGGGAGGTGGGAAGCAGGGGAGACCGACGACTGCGGGAGAACAGCCGGGCCAGGCACGAGAACCGGAAGGGCGCCCGGACGGGGGACAGCGGATAGCCCCTCCCCCTTCCGCCGCGCGCCCTCCGCGCCCCTCCCCCACTGCTGCCGCCGCGCGCGACCCCCACCCGGCGCGAGACTTGACTCGGCGTCCGGGACGGCGCCAAGTCCCCACGCCCTCCCTCTGCCCGGGAACACGGGGACACAGGAGCACGTCCCACCCCCGCCCCCTGCTTACCTGTGGCTGCAGCTCGCCGCTGTCCGGGGCGGGAACTTCCACTCCCCCCTCCCAGGTGGATCCGAATTCTCTCCCCACTTCACCACCCCCTCACACGGCGGGGGACGTCCCTGTGTCTCAGGGGTCAGGCGGAGCGGGGAGAATTAGTGTCACTTAATAGCCAACTGTCCTAAACTACCGTTTCCTCGGCAGTCAGGGCCGCCACTGGCGGCATGATCTACACCAGGCCGGGGGCGGGGGAGGAGAGGGGGGCAAAACTGAGTAAGTGAGCGTGGGGGATGAGGTTAAGGCGGTCCCTCCGTGCGGGCCGCCGTCCTACGTCACCACGTTGCTCACGTGACATGCCGCCATCTTGTGCCGGGTCTGCTCGGATGGCAAACTGTTACTTCGGAGGTGAAGGTTACCTGTGGTCGTTTTTCGCTTCTGGAACTCTGTCCGCGCTCTTCCCGCACTTCTGTTTTTGGAGGCCCCGCCTGGCTTGGTGATGTCCGGAGGCCGCTCGGTGTGAGGCTCTTGTCATGAGTTAGTGGAGTCGCTCTCAGCTCAGCTCCTACTTTCTCCGGGTTGGGTGATGAGACCCAGAACCGTCGATCCCGGCCTTGACCCACGCCTCACCTGTCCGGATCTGGTAGAGAGAAGGGACTGAAGCATCTTCTCTTGGTTTCCTCAGCCTATTTTTAAACGCATAAAACTGCGTGGAGTTGCATCCTTTCTCCCCCGCGAAAGGATTTTCTCCAAAGACTGATTTCACACAAACACACACACACACACACACACAGTACAGGCAGGGTGTTTTGAGCGCCACTAAGGGTGTCCCGCTGAAACAGATTTACCTCAGCTGTTACAGTGGAGCGTTGTCAAAATGTTACACGCAGTCATTTTAATACATTGCAAAAACTTTAAAAAATATTTTTAAGAGGCGCCTGGGTGGCTCAGTGGGTTAAAGCCTCTGCCTTCCGCTCAGTTCATGATCTCAGGGTCCTGGGATTGAGCCCCGCATCGGGCTCTCTGCTCGGCAGGGAGCCTGCTTCCCTTTCTCTCTCTCTCTCTCTGCCTGCCTCTTCTGCCCACTTGTGATCTCTGTCTGCCAAATAAATAAAATATTTTTTAAAAATACTTTTAAATGTGTATCTATCTCTTTGGAAAAGGGATTATGCATTATCTGAAGTTTTTTTCTGTATCCATTTCCTTGCAAGATATTATTTTATGGCTTTATAGTGATGATAACAAATGATAAATGATAAACTTTTTAGTGTGTTCTTGACAAAATAAGCTTCAGGATTTTTCTGGCGTTTTATTAGTTTGAGATCTTCAATGTAGGCAACTTGATTTAGCTGATAGAGCCCTTCCTGGTTTTGACCTTTAAGGCTTGGGCACCTGGGTGGCTCAGTTGTTTGAGCGTCTGCCTTGGGCTCAGTTCATTATCCTACGGGTTTTCAGATTGAGTCCTGCTTTGGACTCCCTTCTGAACGGGGAGCCTGATTCTTCCTGTCTTTCCCCTGCTCTCTTGCTGTCTCTGTCACTACTGTCACTACCTCTGTCTCTGTCTCTCTCTCTCTCATAAGTAAATAAAATCTTAACCTTTAAGGCCAGATAATGTGATTTAAAGCTCAAGAGTTGCTCTGACAGACACTCCAAAGAGCTCACTAATGTTAAGCTAATGCCATTCATTCAGTAAATATTGTTGACTATTGAAACAGGTGCCTTTATTTTCAATTTTTGATTAGGCAAATGACCCAGACCTCTGTAAGCTTGTCTTCTTGTTATCAAAATTGGGAAGAGTATAATACTCAAGCCGTGGTCCAGAATTATTTTAAGAATCAAAATGTCATATACCATAGGGAAAGCACAGTGACCTAAAAAGGTTCTCAAACATCAGCCTTGCCTAATGAACAAAACCCAGTATCAGTCATTCTGGAATCCAGAATATTAATCCAGTCTGGAAGGCTGGCTGTAAGTTTACTATTGTTTTGTGTTTGGTTGTTTCTTCCTTGGAATTCAGAATGCTTAACAAATAGAGATCAGTAAAAGAGGGGTGGGGGACTGCAAAATGTTATCATCAAAAGAAACTAGATTTTAGTGGTGCCTGGGTGGCTCAGTTGTTAAGCCTTATCTCCCTTCAGCTCAGGTCATGATGGGGATCAGCCCTGCATTGGACTCTGCTCAGCGGGAAGCCTGCTTCTCCCTCTCCCAATCCCCCTGCTTCTGTTCCCTCTCTTACTGTCTCTCTTGGTCAAATAAATAAATAAAATCTTTAAAAATAAATAAATAAATAAATAAATTTTACTGAAACCTTCAAATTGTATAGACTGCTTTCTCTTCAGTTTCTCTTCCACCTTTGAAGCATCTTAAGTTTAACTCAGATACTATGCTGCGCAACACTGGCACGCACAAATATTTCTGCCATACTTGTTTCTCATGGAAGTGTCACCTGCTGGACCTACCACCCTTCTGAACCTTGAGGAATAACTGAAGAAGAAAGAAAGAAATCTTGGTTATGACACACGCAGTTCTTTCTGAAGAAGCGTATAAACTAGATGGACAGGTCTTTGACTTTAGAAGTGAGGAGATAAAGTGAAATAAAATAACCTAACTTTCAAAAGCCAAAGGTAATTGTTTAAAATAAACTGGTCAAGCCAGTGGTGGTACCTCTTTGGCTCTTCTGGTGTACTGTTTTCTAGTTAAGAGGGAGAGACATTATGAGGAGATGGGTTTAATAATATTACCTATTCCTGGGGCACCTGGGTGGCTCAGTTGGTTGGGCATCTTTGGCTCGGGTCATGGACCCAGGATCCTGGGATCGAGCACCACATCGGGCTCCCTGCTTGGCAGGAATCCTGCTTCTCCCTCTCCCTCTGCCTGCTTGGCCTCCCTCTCCTTCTGTCAAATGAATAAATCTTTAAATAAATAATATAATAATAATACCTATCCCATAAAGTCTTGTAGATTGAATAAGCTTAACACACGTAAAGTTAGAGGCACACTCCTGGCACACAGTAAACACTAGATGTTGGACATTAATACGTAAAATACTGCAGTGTACCCACTGGAAGCTTAGCTAAAAACAGTTAAGTGGCTACACACCCTGAGGACCCTCACAGTTTAACGAAAGGACTGAGCTGGAGTGGAGGACTTGAGAGCCATGAAGCAGTGTTTGAAACATTTCCCCTCTCAAAAGGCAGAAATTATTTAAAGCTAATACGTGTAGACTTTATGGTCTAAACAGTAGGCTTAATTGTTTCTGTTTGTTTTGTTCTTTTTCAATACTCAAGGCTAAACACACAGGAAAACCCAACCAAAGGTAGTTACTAAATGCCCACACAGGTTGTATGAACTACAGCCATACTATTTCAGATAACTCAGCTCTGAAATTGCTTGCTGCTCCATGTTAACTATGCTTGAATTGAACATATAGAACTAGTCTGTGGGCCCTGGGAGTAGTGGACAACTACCCTCTTACTTTTATGGAAACTTCTCACAGTCAAACTGATCTTACCAACCGTGGGCCCCTGACCTAAGCTGGCCATCAGAGTCTGCCCTGTGGACATTTATTTTGGACCAGAAATTAGTCTTTCTCTAGGTGAATGGACCTAAAGCTCAGGAGGTTTGTAATGAGCCTCGTCCATCTGTGAACAGTGCAGATGAGTTGAGAGAGCAAACAAGTGGATTTCTAGGCCCTAGTTTTAGACCCTGAGATACAGCTGCCTGCCACAGCTCATAGGTTCCACAAGCCATCCTTTGTCCTTGAAATGAATAGGACTTTTTTATTTAAGCTAGCTTACTTTGGTTGCTGTTATTTCTAGAGTCCTACCTACTACACCTGGATACAGGAGAAATAATTTCCTTGTGACTGCCTCCCCTTCTCTGTATCCCATCACCTTAGTCCAAGCTGTCATTACTTCTTGCCTTGTATATTGTGGTAGCCTCCTAGTTGGTACCATTAATAAAACCCTATAATGAGTAAGTATTGGTTACTGTTGTGTGGTTGGATTGTATAAGCAAACAAATTATTTGCCTTCAAGATTATTATTAAAGGGGCGCCTGGGTGGCTCAGTGGGTTGAGCCGCTGCCTTCGGCTCAGGTCATGATCTCGGGGTCCTGGGATCGAGTCCCGCGTCGGGTTCTCTGCTCGGCAGAGATCCTGCTTCCCTCTCTCTCTTTCTGTCTGCCTCTCCATCTACTTGTGATCTCTCTCTGTCAAATAAATAAATAAAATCTTTAAAAAAATTATTATTAAAGAGTTGTAGCAAGACAGCTTGGAACTAAAATTCAGCTTACTGGAAGGAACCTTCTTTATGATGGTCCGAGCAGCCTGCAGGTATCATGTACCTTTGTAACACCCCAGGTAGGGACACTGAGTGGTGCTCTGAGGGCAGGAGAGTCAAATCCTTACACTAAAAACATAAATCTGTTCACATGAGAACAAATCACTGGTACTTCTAGGATGTGAAGAAGCCCAGTGTTGTCCCCTATCAAGTGGCCACTTCGTCTCCTGCAGAAATAGTGTCATTTGGGAGTTCAGTATTGGTTTGTGTCAATGTTTAATGGAAGATTCAGAGATAGCTGTAGCTAAATATGCCTTGGTAAATGGAAGTCCATGCTTCTGGGCCCTGACATAGTCTCCATCTCTGCTACAGTGGCTACTCCATACATGTGCTCATTGTGTCAATTCTGAGATCCTTGGGGGCTGGCTGACATCAACAAGCCAAGTCGTTTTGTTTATATGGATGTTCAATGTCTCTCCCGTGGTGGATGCTTTATAGTGGGCATTGACATGTGAAGCAAAGATCTTCATACTTTGTTCTCCCTCCCCTGTATCTATCCATATAACTCTACTCCAGACCTTGTTGTATCCAGTCTTCCAGCCTTTTTCAAGACACTGATCAACTGGTTAGGCCATTTGCCACTGCCCACGAGTCCATTTATATTCTCACTTTGAGCTACTTCTTGCACAGAAAGGGTGATCATTTTAATATTTGCCTGTTGGGGGCACCTGGGTGGCTCAGTTGGCTGGCTGTCTGCCTTCGGCTCAGGTCATGATCCCAGAGTCCCAGGATTGAGTCCTGCATTGGGCTCCCAGCTCCATGCTCCCTCTGACCATCTCCCCTCTCGTGCTCTCTGTCACTCTCTCAAATAAAAATAAATAAAATATTTTTTAAAAATCTGCCTGTTGGGAAGATTTCCCTTGAAACAGAATGGCCATAACCCACTCATAGA